TATATATATTAGAACTTAATTCACATATCTAATTCAAAAAGATTTATATATAGATACATAGGGGTCGACAAGGCCGTTGACATGTCATACTTAAAGTTATACACAGGACACTGTCTACAAAACCTGTAAGAAAACATGATCATAATATATAAGTCGAGATAGGGTCCCCAATACTTCATAAAATAACATATATAGAACGTTACTCGGCAATACTCCAGGAAGATGTGGAGCTCACCAAACAAAAGCTGATATCTGGAGGCAGCCTACAGTGGATGGTCCTCACCTTGCCTATCTATACCTACGTGGCATGAAACACAGCGCCCCAGGAAAAGGGACGTCAGTACTATCTAAGGCAGAAATAAAACGTAATAATAATAAGTTACTATCTCGGGGAGAGATACGAGTCAACTTATAACTTCTAACTTGCCGCTGAGGGTCGTAAAAATAGAATAAAACCCTTCTCGTATATATAAATAAAACTACAATATAATAGTTCTAGTTACCTCATCTTCGTGACGTTAACTACCCAACTGATCAGTGGTAACTGTCCGACCGGCCGTAACTCGGTAGTAAATGCACTGCCCAACCGGTGGTAAATAATAATACATAAGTGCCCATTCGGTGGTAACTGCCCGACCGACCGTAGCTCGGTGATAAATGAATATGCATTACTGCCTAACTAATGGTAAATAATGATACGTAACTACCCGACCGACCGTAGCACGGTGGTAAATGAATATGGATGTATCACAATATTTTCAATATTAACATCTTTATCAAATACCTCCTAAAATAAAATTTTCAAACTAAACATTATTATGCTATCCATTTATTGAATTGGCCTGACATCCTTTTATTTTTGAGTAGGTTATCTCAATATGATTCCTGATCGAAAAGTGCAACTTTCGTATAATTCACAAGAAAAATTAATGATCGGTCAGATACAAGATATGCAAGTAAGAATTTACAACCATCAATTAATATAGCATTTTGACATATACTCATCCGAAATCCAGAGAAGTTCTACTTCTTATATGTAGTCTATGCGTATTTGCTTTTCTGAAGCTTAATTCTTTCTTTTTCTATTTGTGATAAGTTTCTTCTTACATTGTTCTCCGTCTCGCTTGAAGAATATAATTTTGAGCTTTTGTTTCCAGAGAACTCATTAACGCAATAGTCCTTCTTTTTATAGCCATATGCATCTTAGTGTATTTTAGTTCTTATTTTAATTATCTGCCACTATTTGTAATCCAATTAACTTTAGGATACAGATCAAATAAACAGAAGAATATAAAGGATCACTTATGTTAATTGAATCTATCTAGATACATATTTAGACATGCTTGAATATCACTTTACGAGAATGAATAACATAGACATCCTTAACTACTAAGAGTAGAATCATTTATGAAATAACATGACATTTACGTATCGTTACTTGGATCATGCCAACAGAAGGAAGAATTAGCCTTAACATACCTGGGGTAGGGAAAACTCCGTATAATATTCTTGGCAAAGATTACACCGTACTATTTTAGAACCGCAAATTTTTGATGGAATTACACTTATGTTCCTTGAATTATTTGAACGAATCAAGTTTTAGCTTGTTGAAATGCTTTGAACGAAATTTTCAAGCTTCAGTACATTGAATAAATTGAGCTTTTGCTCTTGAAGGATTCAAACTTAAGAAAGGATTTTGGTTCTTTATCTAATGAAAATGAAAATGGATCAGATTGTAAGTTTTTTACCCATTAATTCCAAATGTTCCTAGTTAGCCACCTAGGCTTTGAATGACTAAGAGTCATTATTAGTCTTGTGGCCTTGTGCCACGTTTTTGGGGATAAATTAATTTATTAAAAATTTTCACTTATTAGTTAACTGGGTAATGTCTTGTTACCCGGTAATTAATCAATTACTCGCATAATTTAAAAATTATCTCAAATTACTTAAAATTTTATTTATTTTTAATATACTTTATATATTACACTACCATGGTCATATGGTACATTTCATAGTACTATTTATAATTATCGGGTATTATCGCTCAACCCGTATTTTATCCCAAATTGGCCACTTTCAACGAAACTCGTTTTCTTTAATTCGTGTACCCTTTATCCTTCATGACACTTATTTCTCGCTTGTTATAAATAGCGTAAATACGCTAACCTCAAAATAATCTCATCCCCGAGTCTATGTCAATTAACTGAAGACAAAACTTTTAACGTACAAAAACGCGAGATATAACATGTCCTTTAGTACTTTCTTTGGGAGATGAAAATTGTTGCCTAGTATGAATGTATGTTTATCAATACAGAGTTAATCAATTGTACTCTACCTGTGTATGATAGATGTTTTGATCCCCATGAGTTTTATGATAGATGTTTTGATCCCCATGAGTTTACACTTGTGCTTAATTTGTCCACCAACAGTTCACAATCCCTTGCTGACAGTTTTTTTGATGATATAGGGACCCCTAAGTATTTGAAAGATAATTTTCCTTGCTTATATCTTATTATCTCACAAGTCTTTTCTAGGCATTGGCCCTCCATGTTTGCACTGTATATGTTTGATTTTCCAGCATTTGTGCTTAGTCCTGAAGCATTAGAGAAAGCTTGTAATCCTCTTATCATGAGTAGCACAGCTTGGTAGTCACTTTTACAGAACATTAGGACATCATCCGCGAAGCATAAGTGGTTTAACTTCAGACTCTTGCACTTAGTGTGAAAAACAAAGCCTTCAAGAGTGGATACTCATTGCATGATCCTCGTAAAATATTACATACATATCACAAAGATTAGAGGTGATATAGGGTCTCCTTAACGCAGTCCCCTCCTCCCCTTAATACAGCCATAGATTCCCTCATTCAATGCAATTGAGTATTGTGTTGTGGATATACATACCATAATTTATTTGATAAATCTAGGTAGAAAGTTTAATGCATGTAGTATCTCTTCCACAAAGCCCCATTCCACATAATCGTATGCTTTCTTTAAGTCTATCTTAATAAGACAGCTTCTCGTAGTCTTCTTCCTGTTGTACAGTTGTACCGGGGCTTGACAAATGAGAATATTTTGTACTATGTTTCTTCCTTCCACAAAGACACTCTGGTTCTCAGCAATTATTGTAGGTAATACTCCTTTTAACCTATTGCATAAAATTTTGGATATCACTTTGTAAACTGTATTACAGCAAGTGATAGGCCTATAATCACCCACCTATTCTGCATGATTACTCTTTGTAACTAGAGTTATCATTGTTGTTTATGATCTTAAGCATTTTTTGTGTTTCAAAGAACTCAAACACACCCTCTACTAAGTCTTGTTTCACCACTGACCAACAGTCTTTAAAAAACTAGCTCACATAGCCATCAGGCCCTGGGACTTGTCTCCTGCTATTGGCCATAGTGCCTCTTTACTTCTGTTTCAGGGAATTGTGTTTCCAGCCTCTCTTCCTGTTCTTGTTGTACTATAGGACCTCTTCGAACAAGATTATTGCATACATATTTTCTCCCATTTTTAGATTCCCCCGGTAGTCCACTATAAAATTTTATAAAGGAATTAGCAATCCCTTCCATATCAGTATGAACCTGCCCTGATGAGTCCTTAATGGAGAAGATTCTATTGGCATTTTTTCTAGCTTTTATCACAATGGAAATACCTTGTGTTTTGGTCCCCTTGCTTGAGCCACTGTATTTTACTCTTTTGTCTCAAAAACTGCTCCTTAGCAACCTTCCATTTAATGCTTTCTTGCAACAAGCTAACTTTCTTATTTATTAAATCAGCATTTCTTAGATCCTTCTGGATCTCTCTTGATACTCTATCAATCTTGCCATTGGTATTTCTGTTTTCCCTTCAACATCAAGGAACCTTTCTTTATTTAATCTTTGCAAAACATTTTTTGTTCTATTCATCTTCCCCATAAGTTTATACATTTTGGTGCCTTTCAACTCAGTCTTCCAAACTTATTGCACTCTTGTTTTGAATTCTGGTAAGAGGCTCCACATATTAAAGTATCTGAATTGCTTTTTGTGTCCTGTGTTCCCCCTTCCCAATTTAATACAGCCAAGCAATGATCATAGATTCCTTCACTCATGAAGTGAACTTATGATGCTGGCAAGTCTGTCATCCATTCATCATTTATCAGTACTCGATCTATTTTGTTGTAGACTCTACTATCTCCACTTTGTTTATTGTTCCATGTGAAGAATGCTCCTGAAGATCTAAGATCTTTCAGACCACATACTTCAATACACTATCGAAAATCTCTTGTTTTCCCCATTATTACTTTACTTCTTATTTTTTCCTCCCTGTTAAGGACACAATTGAAATCTCCCATAACAGCCCAAGGGCCATTTATCTGAGAAGCTAGCTGTTTTAATTCTTCCCACAGATTTCTTCTTGTTGCTTGGTCATTGAAGCCATATACTAAGGTAATATTAAAGGTGAATCCTTCCCCTCGATGTTTGACCTTACTGTGAATTAGTTGTTCTGCCACCTCCCTTATATTTACCTCATACATCAAGGTTTCCACAAAAGTCATATCTTCCTTCCTGGGTGCTTACCTAAATTTGTAGTAAACGACCATCCTTGGCAAAGATTAAGAGATGCTTTCTAGGCCTCAGCTCTCTTAATCTTTGTTTCCAGACTTCCTAACAAGTCAACCCTTAGATTATGAATAAACAGATTTATTTCTCTCTGTTTATCTGGCTTGTATAGACCGCTGGTGTTCTAAAATCTGATCCTGTCGATTAGGTTTAGGGTTTCCCCCACCCTTTCCATGTCCTGGTCCTCCTTCAGCTTCACCTCCTCCAGGGTTAGGGGGTGCAACTATGCCATCTTCTTTGCTTTTCTGAACTACTAAGGCAGCAAAAGAGTTCCCTGTATTGATTTGTGGCTCTCTAACGACAATCCCTCTTCTTGCATTGCCTTTGCTGTGATAGAAATTCTCTTTGCTTGGCATCACCATCAATTGTTTCCCTTCCCTTTGCTTGCATATCTCTTTCTCAGTTTCCTTCTTTTTCATCTATGTACTACTTTCTTTGTGATCTCTTGTGCATGGCTTTTCTATCCTAGTTTCCATTCCTTCTTGTCTTGTTGATGCCTTGTTACTTGTCTCTTCTCTTATGTACTTCCTGCATATTTTTAGTTCGTGCCCAAAGTTTTTACATTTGACACATAAGGTTGGCTTCTACTCAAATTCAACCTCCTGCTCCACAATTTTCCCATGCTCATTTTCAAACATAATTGTAGTTAGAAATACCTTATTGAGGGGTACTTCCACCAATACTCTAGCAAATGTCATGCGTTCCTTCATTGTGGTGGCTTTGTCAGTTTTCAGGGGATTGCTAACCAACCCTGTAATTTTTTCTAAGGCTTGTTTTCCCCAGTACTTCACATTCAATCCCGGAAGTCTGATCCACACTGGTATACTATCCATAACATCTTTCTTCAATTCTATTTCTGGTTGTCATGGTTTGACTATAACAGGCTTTCTGTCAAATATCTGAATTCCATCCTCTACTACTTTAGTGTGACTTTCAATTATGTGAAATCTAACCATAAATACTCCTCTATGTACTTGTGCAACCTTATCAATTCTCAATCCTCCCCAAATTCTTTTAAAATATCCCTCAATGACTGTTTGAGGTGGATTTGATCCCAATACATAACACACAACCCCTGTTTTCCAGTATTCCACTTCCTCATGAATATCATCCAAAGTTATTTTCACATTGATGTTTAGAGGTATTTCTCGTGTCAAGTCCTCTTCTTCATTCACAGGAATATTGCTTACAATTTTACTCAACGAGGGTCTAGCTTCTAGGGTTTGAGTCTTACCCTTTGCAGTGAGTGCATCATCTTCCTCCTCTGCCATATCAGCCCATGAGAGTCTGCTTGCATCACTTCGCCCCTCCGCAATTTCGTCATGTTTCCTCACTAGTGTCCTCATTGGCGTTGTAGTTGCCGATACTTGAGCCATATCTAGTGGTACAATTCCATGAATTGCATTCAAATTCCTCACTTTCTTCGAATCTTCTGTTCGTGGAACATCTTTTTCTCCTTGATTTTGGCTTGGATTTGCCCCTTGTGTGCTTTGCCCTCTCGCTCCAGTCTTCGATTTTCTGCCCATGTTCAGCGTTTGCTGAGAGGAAATTTCATTCTAGAGAGAGAAATTTTAATCCTTACAAATAATTGGGATGTCTCTTTCAAGCAAAATGTGATTGAGAAATTAATCTAATCTATGAGTTTTATTTAAATAAAACTGTACTAACTAGATTAAGTTTTATATATTCATGAACTATAAAAGTAGACTTAGTGCAACTCTTTATACATGTATGTACCTCCATATAGTTTATATCTCTACAAAAAGATGACCAAATACTGATGAAGTTCAAAATTCCTTGAAACCAGTGAAAATAACATGTGTTAAATAAGGGAATTAACATATGTTACTTCGAAATGCGGCTCGTATACAGACATCTGATGTTAATGGGCGCCCATTCACTTGAATTGGCTATTTTTAAATTATTAAAGTACGATTACCAAGGAATAATACCAACAATATTTTAGCAATCTTCATTCAAATTCTCTAACGACCCTTTAAAGAAAAATTCGATACGGCTTGATTTATGCAAAAAATAAGAATATACACAACAAATATTTGGATCGCTTAGTAGTAGCATTACT